CCCCCCCCCTATACTCCAACCCCAACCCCATACCCCCCCCCATCCCCAAAAGTTTCTCAGCGGCTTTGGGCTGTACTCAGCAAGCGCAATACAGCCCCCAACTCAGATTTGAAAAGAAATCAGTGGATGGTTGTTTTCTGACTGGCCGACCGGTCGGCCCTACTGGTCAGCTGCAATACGGTCGGCGGTCGGGGTCAGCGGTCGGCAGGGATGCAACCCTGCACCCAATCATATTATCTATAGCTTCTTCCTTCTGTTCTATGTGTTTTCTGCGTATAGTCTATCTTGTGCGCGTTCTGGCATTTGTGTTCTCCTCTAAGTGAACACCTTTAAGATGTGCCAAATAGTCAGTGTCCTTGTTCATATGGAGTGCCTGCAACTTGACCAGGGATACTGGTACGTTCGGGATGCCTGTGTGCCTGTAGGTTCCCTGGTGATGACAAACATTTGGCGAATTGACTCTCCGGCTCCGATGGTGGTGTGAACCTATAGTCTGTATAGTTCTACTTGCGGTGTGAGTAGGTGATGATCTGCTTTGGTTCTTGTTGGATGTATGGACTGCCTTGTCGGTGCTGCCCTGCTGCCCAGCTGTCCATCTGCTTCTCTCATGTCATTGCCTTGCCTGTGCTGCACCGCTGCCTTGCTGCTCGTCCACTTGCCTTGTGTTGCTGCCTTTTCTGGTGCTGCGTTGCTGCCTCGCCGCACATCCGCATGCCTTGTGTTGCTGCCTGGTCTGTCCTTGCCCTGCTGCATTTCTGATCGCCCGTTTGCCTCCTTGCTACCTTGATCCTTGGCTTTGCTGCTTGCCTGCCCGCTTGCCCGCCTTCCCTCCCTCCTTCCCGCTGCTGTACTGGTGCCTGCTTTTACCTTGCTGCTGGTGTTGTCTGTCACCTGCCTCGCTGTGCACTTGCAACAGGTGGTTGAAGTAGACTATTACTAAAGCATCAGTATGGGGATTCTGCAGACTGTCGAGGGTTCAGCCGCCTGATGAACCCGTGAGAGTCCGACGAAACAGTCTGTCATCTATCCCTTGTGTCGATGTCTGTTGTTTTCATACCCTGTGCCATCTGTCTGATGTCCCGTGTTGTTAAGTATTTATGTTGAGGACACCTGGATCTTATGCTCAGTAGTGCACCCTGCTGGGATCGGAATGCATCTTTGACGATTGCTTCACACACATCATCTCTCTCTCTCTCTCACACACACACACACAGCACCTTGCATCTTCTACTATATTGCGTGTCTAACAGTGTCTATACTTTTTTCGTTTTATGGATGGTTTGTGATGATTTGTGGATGGAATGAGGGAGAGAGCAGCAGCAGTAATTTCGCTGTGGCAGAGGAATGGCCAACGAAACCGTCTGGCACAGTCGTGCTTTTTTCTTTTTGTCTCGGAAGTTGTCTATACCGAACTGCGAACATTCACAAACGTGCATACAATGCTGGCTATATCATCCCAAGAACCTTGCTCACTGCAGCATTGTGATGACGTGCCTGATGTCGGCTAATGTGTGATGAGCATTGGCCCATGTGAGTTTTTGTTTTCATACCTAGGACAGTCATCATGGCACTCACATGACATGTGCTGTTTGTAGACAAGTGCTGGAACGGCAGTGCCTATAGAACTGCGGTGGCTGCGCCTCTGTGTTCCTAGTATATGGCAGCCGTGTTGCCTGTGACATCTGTCCTTACCACACCATTCGACACAGTGAGTGCAGCTGCTAGAATTGGGTGTGGTGTTTCCACAGGGCACACCTGAACCGGTCCTGTCCGGTCTGCAGGGGTGGCCACTTACCATGGGCATGCCTGTTGCTCCGCTCAGTTTGCTCTGCAACTGGACGTCTCACGGGCCGGTTGTGCCAGTCTCTAGCGGTCTGCTCTGGCAGTGAGTATTAATGACCCAATGACGTTCCTCTCTCCTCTGATCTTCTCCTCCCTTGTCTCCTTCGCTTCCCTCTTCCTTCCCTCTTCCCTCCTTCTCTCCCTCCTTCCTGCTTCCTTCCCCCTTGTATAACTGAATGTATGCAAATGAGCATGGCTGAGAGAACAGACAAATTATGAGGTGCAGGTGGGCTGAAAGGCGAACGGGTGTGTAGGCACCCATGCTTAAGTACACGAACGTGATGAGCATTGCGCTACTAAGAATACGGCCACGAAGCAGCCGCTTCATCACAACATTATGTTTATCAAGACATTACAGTCATTGAAAATAATCTCATGTAACTTGATACAAGGTTATAAGGTAAGGTTGTTTCAATTCTGGATCTACACATCTGGGTGGACAAGGGGTTGCTCTGGTGACCGGCTATAATGACCGGGCGTTCTATTGGGGTGAATACGGCAGGTCATCTGTGGTATCGGCGATGCTCATGCGGTGGGAGAATTATATAGTATGTCGGACTACATCTGCAATTATCTAGAACAATCAAGCCCGATTCCTTGTGACAGTCTATGTAAAATTTCTTGTGCTTCAATCACGATCGTCGCTCCTGAACAAATTGTGTGTGATTGGCATGCTGGTTCGCATGTTGATGGTATGCAGGAAGTGGCTGCAAGAGAAGCGGAGCAGGTTCAAAGGGATTTAGAAAAGCGTGAGGAGGAATCACAGAGGAAACAGGCATGGAGGGAGGAGCAACTGCGTGTTATTGAAGAGCGTGCAATTATGGCAAAGTAAACCTCCTTGTCTACGACACCTCCTTTTCCCCATGCTCTCATTTCTCATTTCTGCTTGTGAGCATTGCTCTTTTCTTTGCTGCGGTGATGCACACAAACTCAACTGGAGGGAGAGAACATTGTGACAGCAGTCGAGCGAAAGACAGAGAGTACGAGAGAAGATAAACTACTGAGCCAGGAGGCAACGCTCTGTGTTGCGGTATGTAAATATGCAATAAAATTGAATAAATAACATTAAAATTTAAAACTGATTAATATGAATAAAAGAATATCACCAGAAATTGAGCATGCATCCAGAATACTAGCAATCAAGGATTCTTCGCATTGGATTTTCTGCTCGAGCAGAACGCTACCGTCTTCCCCTGAATAGAACATATGCTGTCATACGGTCATTAAGGCTGTATTTGTGTGGGGCAACTTCCAGTCTGCATACAGCGATAATCACCCTGCTGTCTATTCTGGGAAAGACAGTCATGGTCGCCTTCCTTGGAGGGAAGCAATCAGTGCTGCATATTGCCATATCCCTTTTTCATTCTAGTTTTTTTTTTCGGGTTTGAACTCTGGTCTCTATTTAAACAGTTCATGGGTGTGTCAATGCTGCACATATCCTTTTGACTTCCGAGGGAAAAAAGTAACCGGATTGTTTATTTCCCTGGAATAGAATGGAGCGGGGACCATAAGGTAGCACCGTAGCACTTTTTTTTATTTTTCAAATGTGTCTCCAGAGGGAGAAGAAAGAACTGCATGTGTCGAGACAGCTCTCTGAAGGATTACTCTGGCTTCTCTCAATTCTGATTCTCCCTTCCTCTGTGTCCACTCCCATGTACCTGGCCATGCCAATTTTGTTCTTCAAGATGTAAGTTTTGCTCGTCTTTCAGAACACAAATCCTTACTCTTGTGGACAAATCCTTGCTATTGATGCTATTTGCAGATGAGTCCCACTCCAGACAACTTCAGAGATATCCTCGGCTTGCCAGTTATTTTGAAAGAAGACATCAATATCAACAAATTACAATCAGGAATGCTGCACAAACAAAGACAAGGGCATACAGGCAATTTGCTGAAAAGCCGACCTAGATATACTATGTTACGGCCGGCTCTGGTGAGCAGCTTGACTCTCCAAATGGGCGTTGGGTAGTGCAAAACTGTGGGTCGTTGCACAAGTGTAATGATTCTGGAAACTTGACGAAAGGTGAACGATGTGGTACATTAATGAGAATGAGAAAAAAAGTCCAGGCTGCATTACTGTTCTTCAACTCCGAGAACACTTCAGAACATCGAGGAAAGGGAAGAAGTTCAAGAAACGGAGAAAAGATGAGAGGAAAGCGGTGCTATGAGTTGGTGACTGATGCTCATCGATGTTCGTGTGCTTGATTGGGGTTTCATCCAAGTTCAGGGCTGCGAAGGAAGAACGTGTAATGCGCGAGAGAGATGAAATGGATCGAGAGCGGAAGCGGATGAATGAGGAGTTGTTAAAGGCTGCAGCTATTGCCATGGAGTTTCACCAAGAGAGAATGGATGAGTTAGCGAAAAAAGAAGATGCATTGAAGGAGAAGTTCGGACAGAGCAAACGACAAAGAGGAGGACACATGTCTGAAGAGGTTGATGCGGTTAGAAGCGCGTCGATTGCTGAGGGTGGCGACCTGGATACGTCACTGGACAGCAAGTTGGAAAGGAGGGTTGAGGAGCAGGTCGCAGAAACTGACTCTTCAGCTGCATCTCCTTCGGATAAAGGAGACGCGGATGTGGTGATAAGATCACCAGCAGCTCTATCCTCTGCACCGCGTGAACGGGCAGAAGGGGACTGTCATTCTGTACACAATGTAGGTGTTGATGAGACGAGAGAAACTTCGTGCGTTGATGAGGGATTTGCCACACACTTCAACGGCGAGGATCCGCAGACAGAAACCGGAAAGAACTGTGATGATCCAGCAGTCGACGGGGGAAAGAAGTTACCAGAGGCGCCTGCTGATGGAGAGCACCTTGACAGCAGCAGTAGGCTGCAGGAGCGGCAAGGTGACAATGATAGTGATGATCTTTCCGATGAGTTGGGTTGGAATAACGAAGGACAACGTCTGATCATGGATGGGGATGAGGCCATGTTCTTGCCCTGGGCAGGTGGAGTTTCACCTGACTGCTCTCCTCCTGGCCTGCGTCCGGTCTCAACCCCATCGTCATCTTCTCCTGCTTCGCTAAAGGCGGGCACTTCTGAGAATCGCCCTGAAGTCGGCACAGATGAAATTGTGAGGCGGTCAAGGAGAGGTGGCAAGGAAGAGGTCGAAGGGTTTGTGAGGGACAGCTTCGGCGACTTCCGGCTCGGGAAATCGTGGCCAATCTGGAATCCATCAGAAAGCAAACCAGTGGCGAGACCATACTCTGGGGTTGCTGAGGCTCTGCGGGACTACGAGGACGAGGGAAGAAGATCCCTGCGAAGGAGTTCTGGGAAAGAAGACCAGGCCGACAAGAATGGTCAGGCAGATTGTGCTGAGCTTGATAATGAAAAAGGACCAGATTTCAGAAGGGGCAGGGCATGGCCAGTTTGGGAAGATATCAAACCGTCCCCGGTGTCTACGTCCTACGATCTTGGTAGGTGGGCGGGTGCAGAAATGCCAATCCGTAGTAGGCCGAGCACAGACATCGATGATGGACGTCAGATGAAAGAGATCCTGGGATTTCAGCAGCCTGGAGAGGAATTAGGAACTCCGGCAACGGAGGGGCGAAAGAGAGATGGAAGATGGTCGGTTGCTGGCAATGCAGCAAGTAAATGGGGTATGCCTACGAACCCGTTCATGGCAGCAGGGGTCATCAGTGGTGACGAAGGGAGTGAGGTATTAGAGGGGCCGGCCATGACCTCTGCTGGAGAGAATGTGGATGAGAATGAGAGCTATCTCCATAGTGATCCCAATGGTCAGCCATTGGAGCACGGAGACGGGACTGACAGTGATGTAGTGGCTATGGATGAAGTGAATCAGGAGGAGGATGAGTGTGAGTGTGACATAGACGAAGATGAGACGATGCTGAACGAGGTAGAAGAGTTAAGTGACGGGGTGGCAGAGGATCATCACGTACCTCCTGTTCCAGAGAAGGAAGAAATTGCGGAGCCGAGAAGGCAGACGTGCCAAGGTGGGGCCTCATGGGTCATGGGCATGAAGCATGCTCAGCATAAATGGTTTCCTAGTGGTCCAAGTCTGCATGGCAGAAATGATTCTGTCAGAACACATCGGACAGGCCAAGTCACTGTGACGAAGGAAGATGTCCCATTGGAGGTGGTGATGGATGTCTGCATTGTGCAGGAAATTATAGCACAGTATCCTTTTGAGTGTATTTGAAGCCCCAGGTGCTTGATCATTACAATGGGTATGCAGCCGCAAGATTTGGGGTGCCATGTGTTTGCACCCCACCGCTTTGCGCTTTGAAACCCCAGGTTTCCAGGCCTCATGTGTTTGAACCCCCATGTGTTAGTGTCAAAGTGCCTTGCGGAGCAAACTGCATGTTAATTGCGAACCAGGAAACATGCATAACTGCTGAGTTTGACCGTGACGGATAATCACAAAGAAGACCAAGAAAATGCCAGACCGAGGGTGGAAAAGAAAATCAGAAACATCCACCCATTCCTCCCTTTCCCGCCCTGGGACCCTTCTTGCCCCTTCTCTTCTCCAAATTCAAAGCCAAGGCCCGATTTTGACTGCTCACTGCTCAGGCTGAACGCATGTCCAACCTCTCTTATTTTTTTCCCCATGTTATTGATTCTTCTGGTTTCTTCCAGTAGGTGAGGTGTGGGCTGCTCGTGCCCAGTTGCCTGCCCGAGCGTTTTTTGTAGCCCAGTTCTTAGCTCAGCTTTTGGTGGTTGTTTCACTGTTCCCTTCTCTGTATTGGACTGGATCGGTTCGTTGGATGCTCCTGCTACTGTTGAATCACTTCAAGTCCACCGTAAGTTGAAACGCGCTCAAGTCTAGTTTGACAGCCCAAATCTGGCCGCAAGGAAGAGTTTTTCATGCTTTTTTTCCTATGCCCTGTCCAGGCTCCTCCTCCTCCTCCCCCCCTCCTTGTTCTCTTCCTCTAACTTTTTCTTGTTTTTGTTTTCTTCGTTTTAAAATTTTCCCAAGAACTGTTTTTTTTGCCAGTTGTGTGCAGTCCCTTTCTTTCTTTCCTTTTTCTTATTTCAATTTGGACCATTTCTCAAATTATGCGTGTGCTCCTTGCACAGGGGCCATGCTAATCTTCTCTGCACTTTTTCCAAGTTTAACGGATGTCCCCGAGGACACTCCCTTTCATAGTGTATTTGGATGAACACTCAAATTCAGTTTGGGCCACCGCCTTTTTGTCTAGATGTCAGCATTCAAATTCCACAAGTGCTTCATATGGGTCATCCTCAATCAGATACGGAATCGACCAACCTGCCGGTTACTATTCTTCCCAGGTTCGTTGAAATGTTGCATCAAGAGACTTGTTGTGCTAAATGTTCTCCTGATGAAATCTTGGATACCAGATCCCATTGCCTATGGGCTAGCATGTTCCCTTGAACGCAACGTATCCCCCCGACCATGGATGCATAGAAGCTGTCTTTGCTGTCTGATACGGTCGTGATGAGGGTTCGCTGTTTTCGGGGGCAGACAGTATGCAATTGTCCAGATTCCGATGTTTCGCAGAAAACCTCCAAGATCACGGTAAACCCTTTCAGGTTTTTTGTAACTGTGAATCCAATGTCCTACAGAGAAGATTATCATGGTCCCTGCGCAAGGATGGCACACATAAATCGAGAAATGGTCCAAATTAAAATAGGAGGCCTTGTAAATCCTCAATTCCATGCTTGTCACTTTCGCTTCGCATTTACGTCCCGGTTTGAAGCCATGTGGTAGAGTTCATGGTCATCCAGAACTGCTCTGTTCCGTAGTGAACTGTCTCGTAGCATCATCTCGTCCCACCCCATAGCTTTGTCGACGGTCTGCAGCAAACACCTCCGATTGCTTGAGCTCTGGCATGACACAATTATCGATATCTTTGGATGATCAAATACCGAGGGTGTTAATCTTTCTTCATGAAGTGCCTCGGTCTTCCGCGATTTAATTCACAATTTGACGGAAAGCGGCCCCAATGTCGTAACTTGATAATCTGGAGACTCTGCCGGTCAAAGTCTGTCCCTTGCTGGCCAATGTTTTGTTTTTGGTACCTATGTTTTTCTTCCCAAGCTTTGAACTGTTCACCTTTCTCGGCATTCGTTACTCACTTCTAAAAAGCTTTTCAGCATGGATGATTTACTTCCTTGATGGTACATGATCAACAGATACCAGTGTGTGAGTGCAGCGTGTGTGACTCTGTTACAGGAAGAGCTGTTCTTGCAAGAGCACTGTAAGGCCCTACGCAGATATTTTTTCATGCATGCGGGTGATTGGGCGGACAATTGGGCTGCAGCACTTCAGAGCCATGTACGTATCTCTGTGTGGTGTGTGTGTGTGTGTGTGTGTGTGTGTGTGTGTGTGTGTGTGTGTGTGTGTGTGTGTGTGTGATGCATGCTCATCTGAAGATGAGCGATGCAGATGTCCAAGGAGCACCAGTGTGATGAACAGGACTCGAAACAAAACGAGATAATGCAATGTAGCGCAGCGGCAGACTCAAAGATACGACCTGACACATAAGATCCAGACTCGACTCACACAATCATCATCACACACGTCACACGGCGAGGAGGGAAATCATACACAGAAGAAAGATCCCTCCTTGCGCACACACATGGGGAGAAACCACGGATGATGAAGGGGGAGGAGAGACAAGGAAGGAGAGGAGAAATAGGACAAGAGTAGACCTCGTAGTCGTCCAAGAAATAGTTTTCCCCGTCAAATGTCCAACCAACGTCTGTCCTCAAAAATGTTGAATCAGATCCTGGTCTCCATGGCCCGAAATAGTCACTGCCTGAAATCTCTCTCGCTCTCTCTCTCTCTGAAGAGGAAGAAGAAGAGAAGGAGGAGGAGGAGGAGAAGAAGAAGAACAGTGGCTATGGAGGAGTGGAGAAGAATCAGGAGAAGAAGAAGAAGAAGAAGAAGAAGAAGAAGAAGAAGAAGAAGAAGAAGAAGAAGAAGAAGAAGAATTTTCCTCTCTCACGTGCTCCTGATGATGATGCCGTGAATACTGACCAGTGAAAGTGATGACTCCCGATGCAGGTCGCTGCTGAAGGCCGGTCCCATGACCGGTATGAAGTCCCAGCTATGGCGCCCAGGTAAGTCTCTCTCTCTCCCTCGTGGATATGGCCTCCACCAAACCTCTCCACGCCAGCCTACTCCTCTAATCCTCCAGCACTGATCTATAGCAGCTCTTCCCAAACTGGTGCTGCTCCAGCACCGTGACGCCCAAAGGAGGCTCCAGCCTGAATGTCCTCAAAGTGGACTGGCCCAGCTATATACCGCTGGGCCTGGCTGAGCAGTCCTTGGTCTGTGATCAGGACCATTGGATCTGATGCCCGATCGATGGTCCTGATAGCAGGCCCCAGTCCTGGTCCTATGATCCTGGCCAAAAACGGCCTGCCTGGGTCCCTACTGGAAATCCAGGCAATCCTGCTGATGCAGCAGGGTCCTGAGGACTGGGCCAGGCACAAACAGACAAATGCCTGGCCCAGTCCCACATACGGACAAATCTGAACCTGGCCTACAACGACCGAAACTGAATCACCCAGCAAAATAATAAATGCTGAATAATGGAGAGCATGCGTGGAACCAAATGTGTGCCTGGCCTGGAAACATGGCCACGGGCCTCCAGGCTGCTCACCAAAATGGGTGCGCAGCCTGGGGGCCTGGAACAACCATTGGGCCCTAAAACGGGGCCCGTGTAGTGGCCTCAGCATGCTACAGTGTGTGTGTGTGTGCGTGTGTGTGTGTGTGTGTGTGTGTGTGTGTGTGTGTGTGTGTGTGTGTGTGTGTGTTGTTTTAAAAGACCCCAGATTCTCTCTCTCATTCCTTCACGAATCATCACAAGCCATCCATAACGAAAAAGCATAGATAGGCAATATAATAGAAATGGCAAGGTTGGCCACGTTTGTGTGGTAGAGAGCCAAGTGCCCACAGACCCGTCTGCTGCCAAAGCGGCACACTTGCACATATACATGTATACATGTATATTTCACACCATAAGGGGATGGAGGGCAGCAGGCAACTTACCTAAGACAGAAGACTACTCCAGCAAGACGGGACCGACCCGACCCCCGCAACGGTCCAAAAAAACTTGGAAAGCCTTTTGCATCGGCCCACAAAACCAAAAACTCGTTTACCAGAAACGAACAAATATAACAGCATCTGCATTCCCGACATTCATCTCAAACTACACACTCGCATTGCTGCCAAAGAGGAGGAAGAAGATAAGAGACAACTTACCTATAAGACGGAAGACTCCTCCAGCAAAACGCACCGACCCCCCTTGCTAAGGGTCCGAAAAAACTGGGAAAGCCTTCCATGCCGTCCCAAACAACATACATTCCCCCGAAGAGAACTCGTGGCCACCCGTAAACATCCAAACAGCCCATGCTCTTAAAGCAGGACAAAAAATTAGGCCATGTATAATCAACAAAACCAACAAGACATGTGTGTGTGTGTGTGTGTGTGTGTGTGTGTGTGTGTGTTGTGGATTCTCACCACAACAGCCCCTGTTCCACCCCGATGAGTAGATCCAAAATCAAAGTAGCTTTACCTCTTTTGCAGACAATGAGGCCGTTGAAGCGCACTCGAGATGAGCCAGTCGAACAATGAAACAGTTTTTATGTTGCATACTTCGATGAGTATGGGCAGAACCAAAGATCAACCAATATAGGATGAGCATGTATGCAGCGGAAGTCTGATAAACGAACTGACTCAC